AGGTTCACATAGAAATTGTATACGGCACCCGTATGCACACGTACGGATTGTACATGTATCGTATACGGAACCTATACAAACGAAATTTCACGGGACCCACAAGAAGTGGCAGCAATGGCATGCTTCCTTTTCTCCGCACTTCCGTGTCCCGGACGAGTAGAGTACCTGCTCGCGTTCGGAACTCACTTCCTCGACCATAGGGAATGCCCCGCCCGCCCTGCCGTTGCGGCCGCTGTGTGCTGAACCCGCCGTTGGTGCCCGTCGGTGCCCGTTGGCCGCTCGCACGACGTGCTCGGGGGTCAGCCCGCCCGTTGGCCCCGCTGTGTGCGAGTGTATGCTGCTGGGCTCGGCTGCGCGTTATACCGACGCCCGCCACGCCCCGCCACGCCCGGGAGGAACTCAGGCGGGGCGGGGCGGGGCGTGGCGGGGCGCGCGGCCGTCTGAGTTGAGCGTCAGTTGATCGCGGGCCGGCGCGCGGCGAGCACTCTCTGCTGGCGTTGTTGCTCCGCTCCGCGACACACGGGGCCCGCGCGGCATGCCCGTGCGCGTGCGTGCGTGATCGGGCGGGCGTGCGTGCGTGCGAGTTCTCTCGTGCGGCGCGTGATTGTGCGTGTGAGTGTGCGCGCGTGCGCGCGAGCGTGTGTTGGTGAAAGAGCTCCCCGATAGTGAAGCTAGAGCTCCTCTCCGAGCTGATCAAGTCTGTGTGTGTGTGACGTCACTGTTTGTTTACAAGCCCGCGCCGCCGCGACTCTTCCTTCCCACCCAGACCAGACCTTCGGCTCGGCGCGCGGGTCGTTCGAGAAACGTAACCCGCCCATCGGGCCGCCGGGTGAAACGCAGCTTCCTCCATCCTCGGCTGAAATGCGATGCGAAGACGCGACAGCCGGCGACGCAGCGCGGCTGCCGTCCTGAGAGAGAGTGGAGTGGACTTGACGGGACAGTCATAAGCTGCAGACACCTCCCTCCGCACCGCAGGGTGGGCCTGCGTGTGTGAGTGTGTGTGCAGCTAGCGCCGGCACGGAGGGCCCGAGCCGCGCCCGCGCTGCTGCAGCCCGGCGCAGTGCTGCATTACCGCCATACCTATTTCGTGCTTCGCTGCGCCCCCCGCACGACCACGCCCCGCCGAGCCCCGCCCGCTACGCCACGCCACGCCCCCATGCGCCACTGGGCAGCATCTTGCACCGACCAGGGGGGGCCTCTTTGAGCCGGGTTGCTCGGTCCCATAGTAGTGACCTAGCCCCCCGCCCTCGCGAAGCACGAGATACGGGGCCCTTCGTGACGTTTTTCCTGGTGTCGTCAGGAGAACACTAACACATGCACACCTACACACACACTCACTCACTCACTCGCGCAGCGGAATTCCCCTACTGCCGCTCCTCTCGCTCGCTGCCGCCGTTTGCACGAGACCCTTTAGTTGGCCTGCTACTGCGACGCAGTGCGCCACGCCTCGCCTCGCCCCGCACGGCTCATTCTTCCAATCAAGAAGTGACCGTGAGGGTCGAGCGGGGGCCGCCGTGCCCATCGCAGAGCGCGGCCGCCTCACCCTTCCCCGCCCCGCCCCACCCCGCCCCGCTACAGGCGC